AAAAATGACAGGATGAAACTGGGGAACCTACAGAGGAGCTAGCTGTGTTAATCACATCAATCTGGCCTTGAACTCCCTTATGTAGCCCTGCCTGGCCTGAACTCAGAGTGATCCTCCTGCCTTAGCCTTCTGAGTTCTGGAATTACAGACATGTTCCATTGCTTCCAGTGTGCCACAATACCTAGCCGTCAGTTGGTTTTGAAGGAGAATGCTGCATCACAAAATGTTGACTACTACCTCATTCTTCTTGATTTGTAGGTTCCTGACACAGTATACCTTTTTCTCCCTTGTTTTGTTATTCATTTGGTATACCTACTATGTAAAGCAGAAAGCAGAGATTGGAAAGTTAAATATTTTCTGTTATTATACCACTTTTTTAAGGTGTTCAACATCCATTTCTTATTAATTACAGTTATGAAAATAATATTAATCCTTAATATAGTTTCTCATACATTATTGCTAAAGTACATTAAGATAGGAATGTGTTCACCATAGTTGAAATTTTTAACAGAAGTAATTAGGCAAATATTAGCTCTGGTAATCTGGAATATTAAACAAAGTTTAACATGGTATAGCTATGCTATTTAATGGAAAATCTGATTATTTACTAGAAAGCTAACTATACTCTATTTTTTTAATTTTAATTTTTTTGATAGATTGCAAATTGAAAATAAATTATTTACAAGCATAAATGAATATAACAATATAAATTGCCCAGAATAAAAATGAAGAAAGAATTTACAGATCAGTCATAATAGTTCACTGCTTCAAAACCAAGAAACTTATATTCATATAACTAGAATTCTCAAAGTAGAAAGGAGTAGGCAATAAATATTTAAAGATTTAAAATTTCTGAATTTAGTTCAACTTATAATACTACAATTATAAGAAAAATGAACCTTTTGCTCAAAGAAATTTAAATAAAATCATACCAAGATACACAAAAGGAAATTGTCCAAAACTTATTGTAAAGAAAAAATCATTAAAGCATATACATAAAAAATATTAGCTATGGAAGATCAAAATTACATAGCATTTTATTCCACATTAGAAAGAAAAAAAGGACCAAGTATGTAAGAAACTAGATTAATTACAGGACTAAAAGAAAAGATCTGTCCTCTTTGAATTTTATACTTAGCAAACATACCTTTGAAAACTAAAAGTAAGATTTTCTAGTTATACAAACTTGGAATATTTTAATACCTCTGGTAGTAGCATATAGGAAATAACAAAGAGCATATTTCAAAAAGCAAGAGAAAAAACAGTATGCTCCCGGATGAACAATAAAGAGCTCTCAATATGATAGTTATGCAGGACTATATAATATATACTAGATGAACCTTTATTTAAAGGTCATTGAAGATTTCTGCGAAACAGTACCAATCTTATGTTGAGTTACGCACGTATTTTTTTTCACAAAAATGTGTGTGTGTGTGTGTGTGTGTGTGTGTGTGTATAAAAGACAGGGAAGAAGTAATATAAAGTCAACAGAAAATGGAAATATACTTTTTAAAAAATTTTTATTTATTTATGTGTGTGTGTGTGTGTGTGTGTGTGTGGCCAGCTCAGCCCACCAGGGGGTGGGGCTGGCTGGCATGTGGTGCTGGGGGATTGAACCGAAGTCCCTGTGCTTTGCTAAGCTTGTTCTAAGTAGGTACTTTAGACCACTGAGCCATCTCACCAGCCCTGGAAATATACTTTTTAAAGTTTCTAATACTAGGAGAAGATATCATACGATGTCTTTTAAATAAATTGTAAGTCAAAGATACAGTATAAATCTTAGAACAAAAATTAAGATTAAGCAATATTCAGAAAATTAAATACTAATTAATTAAAAATTAAATGTTTTATAACAATTGAACTAAGAAAAAGTTTTCATGACAACAAAGAAGTACTAAGAGAAAAATATAAGATAAATACTGGAATGGCAAGTAAATGACCAGCACTTCTAACGGTTTGAGGATTGGATATTGCACAAAGTTCTAGTGTGTTGTGGACATGCATAATGACTGTGACAGTTATTGGTGGCCAGGTATCACTTGTGGGACTGAGCTACAGCTATTTCTTTGAAATCCACCCTGTAGACTCAGATGGAATCGGAATCATGACCTATAGGGTGAAAGAGAAGTCCATTTGTAGAGTATGCTGATGGAAATGTTTTGCTGCTGAACACAAAAGAATAACTGAAAGACTACTATTGTATACCTCTTATTCTCCTGTGTTTAATTGTTTGACCTATTTGGTGGGTTCTTTCCATTCTCATTCATGGGAATGTGATCAATTTGCTCCCTCTCTAGAACATCATTTAGTAGTCTGTGTAGGCTTGTCTTTGTCATCATGAAATTCTTTAGTTGTTCTTTGTCACGGAAGTATTTCACTTCTCCATTATACTTGAAAGAGAGTTTTGCAGAGTATATAAGTCTGGGTTGGAATTTGTTTTCTTGCAAGACTTGAAGTGCTTTGCTCCATGCTCTTCTTGACTTGATGGTTTGTGAAGAGAAATCTGCTGTCATTCTGATGGGTTTTCCTTTAAATGTGATCTGTTTCTTTTCTTTACCGGCTTTTAGTATACTGTTCCTGTGCTGAATTTCTGGGATCTTGATTATTATATGTCTGGGTGTGGTTTTCATTGGGTTGATGTTATTTGGAGTTCTATATGCTTCGATTAGCTGAATGTCAGATAGTTTGCCCATATTTGGGAAGTTTTCTTCTATTACTTCTGCCCCTATTCTTTTTATATCATTTGTATTGATGCCTTCCTTCTCATTGATGCCTATTAGTCTCACATTGTTCATCTTTGCATTGTGTTGCAGGTATTGAATTATTTTTTCCTGCATCCTAGTTGTTTTAAAGAGATCTTTTCTTACTTTTTCATGAGCTGCAATGGTGTCCTTTAGGTCAGAAAGTCTATTTTCACTTTCACTCAAATGGTATTGCCAGCATGTGATTGAGGTTTTAATTACCTTTATATCACTTTAAATGTTTCTTACATTCTATTTCTTTCCTATATTGCTTATTCAGGGGTTCCATCATTTTCATATTCTGCTCCATTTTTTTATCAGTGTATTCTTTTGAAACACTTAGTACTTCTTTGATTATAGTTATCACTACATTTTTTAGTTCCAAAATTATTTCTGATCTGATTTCTTCTATACCTTTGTGCAGTTGTTTCTTTACTTCAGATGCTATTATTTCCGAGATATCCAGCGTGTGATTTCCAGTTTCCTTTATGCTAGTGTGTTCTGCATTTGTACTGGGTGGACCTGGGACCTGAGACTGCATTTTGTTCTTTCTCTTTGTCATTTTGTATACCACTGTCTTCTGACCTTTGGTGTAAAGCTTAGATACGAGTTATTAGCTTAGCACCAGGCCCGGTTCTACAAAGTTCAGATTCCTTCAGTTGGGTGTTGCTTGGATCTGGCTGCTGTGCTCCACTTCTTCTGCTGCAGACGTTAGAGTTGAACCCTTTGTGTCTCTCTGGCAAGATGTTCTACTCCTGAATCAGCTGGGTGCATCTTGCCTCTAGCCTCTTTTCAGGGAGTTCTGCTGAAGGGTTCCATTCTGGGCCTGTGCTCTGGGTCTATTCAGGATCCGGCAGCCCCAGGTCCTCTCACTCATATACCGGGCCTGCACTCTGGGTCTATTGAGGATCTCTGGGCCCAGTTGGTCTCATTCACATGCCTGGCCTATACTCTAGGTCTATCCACTTTGTTTTTCAATAATCTTATTGAGAAACAAATGGCAATGAGAGAATTTCAAAACTGATTACTAGCACAGTTTCAATAATTACTACATTGCATTTTGTTGTCTTATTGGTTATTCATTGTACAAGATGCAGACATGGTATCCTGTCCACAAACACTATTAGAACAAATCTCTCTATTCAAGAGCCAAGAGAATGCAACTGTGTATCTATCCTTTTTTGAACATACAGATAATAAAATGATCATTTATTTGTATCCCCCTTTTTTGTTTAGTTTTGTCAGAGAAGCGCATTCCATTGTCATTTAAATTTTGTAGGTGCCTGAATTCAGCAAAACATTCCAATGTAGTCCAGTAGTCCATAATAGTAGTGGGTTTTCAGTAAGACTGGCAATGACAGAAGTTGTTGACTTGGCTGGGAAGATGGCTCAGGGGAACAAATTCTTGCCTGGCAAGTACAAGGGCCTGAGTTCTATACCTGGTTCCACCAAAAAAGAAAAAAAAAAAAAAGAAGTTGTTGACTTCAGCCTTTTACAAATCAGCATATTAATATGGCTTTACTTTTATACCTCTTTTTTATACTTTTCTGCTGGATGGTTAAGACCAAGATAAAGCAAGACTTATATAACAAGTAATGTAACTTTTGTGGGGCTGGTGAGATGGCTCAGTGGTCTAAAGCACCTACTTGGAACAAGCTTAGCAAAGCCCAGTGACCACGGTTCAATCCCCCAGCACCACATGCCAGCCAGCCTGGCCACCCCCCCCACACACACACATAAATAAATAAAATTAAACAAAAAAACAAGTAATGTAACTTTTGTATCTGATAAGGTCAGACAAATCCCCCAAGATTTATCCTAAAACCCTGTACCGCCATAGATCATTTGTCAGTGTCAGCAATGTGAACGACTCACAGCCATTCAATTGAATTTACTTCTAATTTCTGTGCCTTCTGAGCATATTCCGTGTATGAAGGGCATTTTCCCTCTATAAGGAGCACAATTTTTTTCTTTCTTCAACGCTCCCACGGCGGCGATGCCGCAATCCCAATGGCTCCCGCGGGTCCCCGCCGGCCCACCACCGCCTCCCGTGGGCCCCGCCCTCTCCCGCGGCCCCGCCCTCTCCCGCGGCCCCGCCCTCTCCCGCGGGCCCCCGCCGACTCACCTGGGTCCGCCAGCCGGCTCCCAAGGAGCACATATTTTCTCTAGCATTTTTTATTGTTACGAGAAGGAACATTTGTCAAGAAAACCAGTCAGTATTTTCATCTGAGACTCAATTTATCACTTGACTTTTAAAAGGACTCTGGGGCCTGGTCAACAATGCTGGTACTATCGGCCGAATCGCTGTCAGTGAGTGGTACAAGATGGAGCACATTGTGAATGTCTTCAAAGTGAACCTCTTTGGTTTGGCCGAGGTGACCCTAAGCATGCTTCCTTTGGTGAGGAGAGCAAGGGGGAGGATTGTCAACGTCTCCAGCATTCTGGGAAGAGTTGCTACAGCTCCTTCACCCTACAGCTCTTCCAAGTATGGAGTTGAAGCATTTTCAGATACACTGAGGTAATCCTCGTAAGGTGAAACAAATACAGCTACTGAACACTTCCCCATGTCTTTGGCATAGTGCTACATACTTTCACTACTTTATCCTCTATCAACACTCTCTATATCTTAGTTTGTAGATATGGTTAGGAGTCCACTATATATAGAAAACAAAGGCTCAAATTTAATTTTTTTTTTAAAAATTCACCACCCACAGTCACAGTTTGGTGGAGCCATATTTTTGGCAAAAGGTCTTTGTGTTCTTCTAACACAACACACTGAAATTCTCAAGAATAATCCTTGATAAAATTTAATTTCTGAAGACTAGATGATTTTCTTCTTTCTGAATTAGTTGTTACTGTCTCTTCTTGGTGATCTTCTTTCTACCACATTCCTCATCTGCTTCCAAGCTTTTCTTTCCCTTTCTCCCTATTTTCTCCCATATGTGTTTTGCTATACTTTGAATTTGTTGCAATCCCTGAGAGCCCTTCCTCTAACATTTGGCTTTTGCTCATCTACTATTTTTGCTTCTTCTTTTACTTTTTTTTTCTTTTTGTTTTTTGGCTTTTGTTTTGGGTTTTTGAGACAGAGTGTTCCTATGTAGTCTAGGCTGATTTTAAACTGGTATGCAGCCCAGGCTCTTCTCAAACTCATAAGTGATCCTCATGCCTTAGCTTCCTCAGTGCTGGGATTAAGGTGTATACCACCTCACCTGGCTGCTTCCTTTTAAAAAATATTTTAGGGGCTGGTGAGATGGCTCAGTGGTCTAAAGCACCTACTTAGAACAAGCTTAGCAAAGCACAGGGACCACGGTTCAATCCCCCAGCACCACATGCCAGCCAGCCCCGCCCCCAGATGGGCTGAGCTGGCCACACACCCACACACACAAAATAAATAAATAAAATTTTTTTAAAAAGTTATTAAAATATTTTAATTATATTTTAATTTCTATGGGGAGACCTATTGACTGAATTCATTTCTTTGCATCAACTGATGGTATATATTTGGTGCATTTATTGTATGTGAGACATGGTTCTGAGTACATCTATTAAACCAGTTAAATTCCTTTTTTTGGTCTATATTTCCACACTGGAATTGAATTCAGTGCCTTATAGTAAGTTACATCCCAAGTCCATTTTCTTTTAAGTTATTATTTTGATATAGGATCTTGTAAAGATGCTAGTCTTCAACTCATGATTATGATCCTCTAGTCTTATCAGCTGAGTGTTTTAGAAACACAAGCAGCAACCACCATCCCAAATGTTACTTAAATTTCATAGGACCCCAACGAAGAGATCATTGTTTTGATCCATATCATATATATGAGGAAACCAAGATGGAGCAGCTTAGCAACTAGCCTGTGCTTTTGTCTTTGAAGTTTCCACTGCCTAATAAGCCAGGCTTCATTTTCATCAACTGGCAATTTCCTCTGTCTTTTTTTTTTTTTTCCCTCTGTCTTTTGAGGCTCAGCTGAAGTGTGTTCCCAATGGAGATTTTAGGACTGCCTTAGAAAATCTCTCCACACCCCCTCTCTACTTATGTAGCTCTTTGAATACTTTTTGAAATTCTTTTTTTCTAGTAATGGTGATTAAACCCAGGGCCTTATACATGGTAATGTACTCCATCTCTGAGCTATACTCCCAATCCATGGAATTCTTTGGAGTTCTCTTGTACTTAATGGATTTACCCACTATGAACTTTTGGAAGTAAGGAATGGAGTTTTAATCTGTTGGGACTGTGCATGTAAAATGCTTAATACTCTACCTGTCATTATAAGTGCTTACTTCCTTTATTATAGAAATGGTTTTCTTTATATCATCAGTATATAGCATATAATGGGTAATTACATGTTTGATAAACAATTGAACATATAATTAAATGTTTATAGTAGTTGATATAATCATATTTAGCTGTTGAATCTAAGGGTGTTGATTTTTTAATCCTTTAAAATAGTAGGGTTTTTTAATTAAAATAATTTTGTTCTGCTTTGTATTGTCTTTCCAAAGAACATTAAAATGCTAGAGTTTTTTAATCAAAGGAATTAACTTAATGGTGTTTGTTTCAGGCGTGAACTGAAAGAATTTGGGGTGAAAGTCAGCATAGTTGCTCCTGGCTTCTTCAATACGGGGATGGCCAATGTGCCTCTTTCCTTAGAACAAATGAAGCAATGCTGGGAGGAAACCCCTGCACATATTAAGGAATCCTATGGACAGAAGTATTTTGATGTCTGTAAGTACTTTTTTCCCTAAAAATAAAGTATGGGTTGCATAAGAAAAGGAGAGGGACTTGATGAGAATGATTCCAGATACCTTGAGACAAAGCTTTTTCAAAAAGCCTTTCCACTCAGGAGGGGGTCATGGAGATCCAAGTTAGCTCAGTTGTTTGTCGCATTCACAGAAAGCGCCTAGGCTCTTTTTGCCTTACCTGTTCCCTATGTCGGGGCTGGGTCATTCAGCAATGGAAAGTATTTCATGCTTAGGTGTATGGAAACTTTGGTCTTGAGAGGAGGGCTCCTTGAGAATTCGAGAGCGTTGGTGTGTTCTATATGTCTTGATGAGAGCGCAGTCTTCAATATGGTCTACCTTGTTGGTGAAAGACCCTGGCCATAAGCTCATGGAGAAGTAAGTGGACAAAGACCTGGTTCCCAAGACCCCAAAGGTCATTGTTTTTTTGTTTTGTTTTTGTGGAAAAAAACTCAGGGATTGAACTCAGGTCTTGTGCTTGCCAGGGAACTACTTATTTCACTGAGCCATCTCTCCAGCCCCCAAAGGTCATTGTTGGGGAGAAGACCTCTCATATAGAGAGCTAAGAAACTCATGGAAAGGAGATGACTCAGGTCTATGGAAGAATATAATTCTAATGACTTGAGGGAGTATATGGTTGGTTGGAAGCAAAGCTCTCCACTTGGAGAAGTAGGATACACATGCCCATGTGGGTCTTCATGTTCCTGGCAAAAAGAAAGGTCTTCTTTGCACAAAGGAAAGGTCTTCTTGAAGCTAAGAGCAGCAGGTTTCTATCTATTTTCTTTCATGGACAGAAAGGCCTTTTGGTGATAGTAGCAGCCCTGTCACTGCCTTTGGGTGATATCATAGTCTAGAGAAAAGGAGAGGTGGAAGGCACAGATAGAAGATTCCTGATGTCTGTCACATGGGTGAGGAGGCAGCAGCAGAATATGGGAGAGAAGGTGGATGAGGGAAAGACTGACCTGATAGTGTCTTATCCTCTCAGAACTTTCAACCAGTAAAGAAGTACAGTATTTCCTAATGTGCTGGAGGACTGGCATTGTCATAAACTCTTCCTCATCTCAAGTTCCTGCAGCCTTAAGAATGTGTTTTTCCTGTAGACACATAGATTTCAATAATAGACATCAGTAGGAGATTGGAATTATCTGTGAGAGGATTAGTTAAAACATGGTATATATATACATATATATCTTATAGATAATTGCTGTCAACATAAATATAATGGGACATAGGGAATAATAATTTTTTTAGTAGCTGCATTAAAGGAAGCTTTAACAAAGAAGTCTGGAGATGTAGTTGTAGAGCCCTTACCTAGCTTTGTTAGGGCCCAGGTTTGATCCTCAGCACTTTTCTGGGTGGGGGAAAAATGGAACAAAAACTTACTCAATAGTTTATTCTATTTCATCCAGTATATCTAAAATGCCATTATAAAATACTAATTATCAATATGGAAGTTATTCATAATGTATTTTCTGTTTTGTCCTAGTAGGCTTTCAACATTAGTTTTCATTTTATGCTGACAGCTCCAATGTATTTGGAAGCAATTTTTCTTAGAAAGTACTACTTTCCTGTTAGATGTACTAGACTGTAGTTATCAATGGCCTTCCTCATAATAGTTCTAAATGGAAACAATTAAAATATATGCCCGTTGATAAACAAAAATGTGCTGTAGTCCTACAATGGGTAGGAAGTATTGATAACTGCTGCAACATAGAAGAACTTTCAAAACATATTGCTTAGCAAAAGAATCCTGTCACGAAAGACTGTAACATATGACTTCATTTACATGAAGCTTCCAGAAAAGCAAATCCATAGAGACAGGAAATATATTAGTGGTTGCCTTGGGTGGGTTGGGTGAGTTGATGAGCAAAGACAGTGATCGTTGATGTGTACTAGAGAGGTTTTTTGTTGTTGTTGTGGATTTGTTTTTGCTCTGGGGATTAAACTCGCTGTCACATGCAGCTAGGCAAGTGCTCTTATTGCTGAGCTGCATCCCACCTTTCAGGATTTCTTTTTGGTCTGATGTGTATGTCCTAATCATGGATTGTGGTGGTGGATGCAGATCTGTGAATATTGTAGACAAAAAAATCATTAATTAACACAATTTAGATGGTTGTATTGCATGATATCTGAATTTGCACATTTTAAATGCCTGATTTTTATGAATCAATAAAAATTTTAGAAATTTTCAAGTTGAAAAATCAGATTAATATATGTATATCTGTGCCAATATATTTAAAAAGTTTTCTATAACACACTTATAAATATGCTCTAAAATTCAAACAGATTAAAATAAAATCAAAAATTCAATTTTTTTTCGCACTAGCTATATTTCAAATATCCAAAGTGTTTTTTTATTTTTTTGGCAGAACTGGGGATTGAACTCAACCCTTTGCATTTGCCTGTCAAGTGCTTATTCTACTGAGCTGTCTCCCCAGCCCCCCCATCAAATATTCCAAAGTTGCAGGTGATACTGGCTGACAAAGAGGGAAGTACAGGTCTGGCTGGTTCATTGTAATCCTTTGGGATTAACGTGGTTGGACCTTGTGACTTCATGCAAAAAAGTTTTAAGATAGCACTCTAAGGACTGAAATTGCTAACCATCTTTCCTCTTTTTGCATACAGATTGCAATGTGATAAATCAAATGATGTCATGTTCAAGTTCAGACCTGTACCTGGTCACTGACTGCATGGAACATGCTCTGACATCTGTGCATCCTCGTACTCGATATTCAGGTGGCTGGGATGCAAAATTTTTCTACATCCCTCTGTCTTACTTACCTACATCAGTGGTAGACTACATAATTTCCAGATTCTGACCCAAACTAGCCTAGGCAGCCTAAAGAAAACTGGTTTAGTGGCTCTGGGAATGAGCAATACAAACGTCTGGAATTTATTGCTAGTGTTTCACTAACCCTTGTTCAGAACCTCGACTGTTTGTAACAACAATCTGAATTCTCAATTCATTTGTCTAATGTTGTCAGAAAACCAGAACATTCACAATCCAGATTGCTAATGTTTACTACTTTTGCTGACAGATCTTTACTATAATTTTAAACATTTGTTGATGAAGATATTTCTAAAATATATCATTTCTTCTTTCCCTATTAAACTGATCCAAGTGAAAACAATTTAACCTGTTTTGATGTCATTTCTTTATGTACATAAATAGTTCTTTTATGCTGTGAATGACTCTTCTTCAGGAACTACTGAAAGCCACGTGGCTATGGGATTGTAGGAATGAACCAACCATGGCCAGGTATAATATATAATGCTCTTGATTTGATAGTTTTATTAGTATTTAAATTTATTTTAGTTGCTTTGATAATGTTTTTGATTGATTTCTTGATATTGAAAATGAGAATCTAGTATTTTTATGTTACTTTCCTGCCTATTTCTTTTGAGCTTGTATTTCTGATATAGCTATCACACTTTCTCCTAAGTTAATAGTGCTTGTAATGTTAAGTATGGGAATTTGTTTACTGTTTATCCACACATTTTACTTACAGTGGATAGGTTCTGGCCTTACTATCACTTGCTAAAGTCATCATGATGGTCATCTAATATGGCTGAAGCCCTTAAAACAAAGCCCGTTTTTCCCAAGACCACCTGCCTCCTTCTTCTCCAACTCAGCCCAGGATGCAATTTCCTTTCACCCTTCCCGCCACAGCAGGCAACACCCCCAGTCAGCTCTTCCGGTATATCCAAACATTCCCTTCAAACTTCACTTTTGGTAAAAGGCCATAAAAGTCTCAGCCTCCCTTTGTTCCAAATGAGAGAATTTCTCATCTTTCCCCTCATTCTCTCTGTGTCCCCAAAGAACATAAAGCCCTTTTCCCTTTTTCCCTTTGCCTGTGTCTCTTCTGTGTTGTGCACCTGAAAAAAACCTAGCATGTTGGTGCCATGACTCAGATAGATAGGCAGTGTGTGAGGCTTCTGGGTGCCAAACCCCCAGTTCTGAGCCCCCTGCCTATTGGCCAAGGTCCTTTCTTCTGGATCCTGCCCATTTGCTGCTTCTTGCCTGCATCCAACACCAATCCACTTCAATCATTACAGGTGATCTGAGTCACAATGCAGGATTTCCACCAGTTTTCTGGGGGAGCTGTTCCATTGTCCTCTGGTAAAGGGTCAAACCCTTGCATCCTGCCAAGGATGAGCAGTTCCTCTCACGATTAAGTAAAACCGCAGGCTTGTGTCTGGATCTCTCTCTTGTCCAGTGGAGAGAGAGAGATCCAGCTAACTGTGTTCAAGTTTCTTAATAGATGCTTTAAGGCAACACAGTCCCTGTCCCATGGACTCCCACCTCACCCCCAGTGATGTGAGTGGATCAGGTTTGGGGACCCCCTGTGTGCTTCATTACTGGGGAATGGGGGGTGATGACTGCCTTCCCTGTTTTGAGGTTTGTTTGACTTAGCCTTAAGTCAATAAGACAATAGGCAAACAGTCTCCACTGACTACAAGTCTGTGACTTGTACACCGTCAGTGCTACCATTGGAAACATTCATTCCCAACCCTGAAAGAACACCCGTTAAGATGCCTTGTCCACAATCTTGGCTTCCTAGGCCTCCAAGAGGTCATAAAACCTAAACAATTAATCTTTTATTGCCACAATCTAGTCACAATATAAGCTTAACAATAACACCCAGTGGCCTATTAAAAAAAAAAAAAACCAACACTTTTGATGCACTAATTCTCCAAAGTTTGGAGAACCATCACTGCAGTGGGAAAAGGCAGAAAATCCCCTTTATTAGGGCTTTTTTCTCTTTGAGGATGCACCCCCTCCTTTTCTCCTCCCTCTCTCCCTCAACAGTACAGAAGGGCCTAGATATCCTCAGCTTGCATCCCTCCACCTGGTCCCACCCTGTACCTCCTTGGACCCTCTAGGAGACGCTTTGCTGGCCTGTGCTCCCCAACCTCCCAGCTACAACTCATCAGTCCCCTCCCCTAAAGTTTCCTGAACTCCCAGCCTCTCTATCCCTCCTCCTTTCACCCACTGTGGCCCCATCTCTCTCTCCACAGTTGCTTACATCAAGGACAGCTCCTCCGCCTAACAATCTCTCTCAGGCAGATCAGAGCCCTGGCACTTGCCACAGCGGCCACTGCGCAGGACCCTCTACAGACTCTTCCAAGTGCCTCTGCTGCAGCCCTGCTTCACCTTCTGACCGCTCAACTTTCAGTCTGTCCCATATTCCTCATGTTCCTCGATGTTCCTTCCCCTTATAACTGTCTCTTTCCTTCAGGTTTTTCACTTTAACACTTTTTGCCCCAACAGCATGTGTGCCCCTCCTTCTGATATCTATCAAGCTAGAGACAAGATAACAGCCCACTGATCGAGCAAACACACTGCCTGCTTCTCTCCTCCTCACCTCCTTGCCCCCCATCCCTCAGTCACCTCTACAGTCTGCACAGTCACAATAGACACCCTCAGTTTCCCTCATTGCCAGCTTACAAGTCCAAAACTTGTACACATCAGTGTCCCTGTATTGTGCTGTGCCTAAACCTTACACCCTGCTCAGTTGCTTGCTCTCACTCAAACCTGATACACTACATTAAACCTAAACATATATATTAACTATAAATAAGAGATTTTTCCCTTTCTCCAAGTTCTTCTAAGAGATCTATACTAATCAACCTACAAAAGTTCTGACTAATGTCTCATAATTACCAACCAAAAAAGGTCATCATAATTTAACCTGGCCAGATATATATATTTCAGTGCACTCTCATTTTACAAAGATGTCTGTGTGTCCTGTATGCACTTGTTTGTTTTTGTGACATTCTATAGATAGCTGTTCCTTTTTTGAGCTCTAAAATATAAACTTAAAAGCATCCTTTCTCTTGTGTTACCAGCTGGTCTAACTGATATCAAAATTAATTTATAATTAAATAAAAATCATTAAAGTGGGAAGAGATTATTAAATAAGACTCTTGATTGTGGATAAAGATTGGCCAATCAATAAGAGCCCCCACTAATCTCCTTAAAAGACACCCCCAACAATTTGGTCATTGGTTAAAACAAAGTTTTTTCAAAAATTAAAATAAGGTTTTCTCATAAAGGATGCTCAATATATTAAATTTATTCATGCCTTCCAAATATACAGTATTCTACAATGTAAGTTTTCTCTCAGATTTAAACATATGCCTTTCTTTTATACTCCAGGTATTCATAATAAGAGGTTCCTGTCAAGCCAACATGAGGTCACATGAAGTCATCAGTCAAATTTTATTTTTCTAAAATATTTATCTGATATATATGCTGTGTATATGCCATTACATTTAGAGATACTTAGCCAAAATGGAGATT